AGCTAAAGTGGGTACTGATGCCTTTGGATTCAAAACAGCCATCAGTGGCTTTTGATCAGTTTTGATTCTGAAACTACGACCTTGCAAATACTTGTAAAAGAATTTTTTCTCGAAAAATCAAAGACAATGCTTCAGGGTCTATCAGAGCATAATTTCACTCACTGGCAATGTGTGTGTGTCATGTGAGTGCAACTGGTCTCTCCTTATCATCATTCACATGAAAGATCATCCCTTCTACTCTCTGGGAGAGGCATCACATGCTAACTTTGTCTTTTCAGACACATTACAATATACAGCACTTGTGCTATCTTTCAACATGTGTTTGCATAATTCATGTGATTTGCCATATTTGTTTGGCCAAAACCATGAACAAAGCTTCCTCAGAACTTCATTCAATAGATGCAACAAGTTTGCCAAGATTGGTGTGAATTTACTGCAAGCATTCATTAGACCTGAGGCATGAAAAGAATCTGAGGCATGAAATATTCTGGCTAAGTGGAGCATTTCTTATTGCTTTAACTTTACTCTGGTTAGGATGTAGATCATCTTAGTCAAGCAAAATACTCTACTCAAGTTTGAAATATTTCACATTTGACTGCCTCCGCTTAAATTCCATGCTTTTCCAAACATTGGAGCACTTTATTCAGCAAATCACCATGAGTCCATCTCTTTGGAGGTAGGTTAGGTATGTCATCCAGGTAATATGTTATTCACTGAATTCCTCTCAAAACTTGGTTCATTGCCCCTTGATGAATTAGTGAAGGGGGGTTATGTGCTGCCTGTGAAAGTGCAATAGACCCATGACGGTGTTAACGGTCAAATGTGAGTTTCATTCAGCTAATTCAAGTTGTAGATACACATTTTTCATACCTAATTTTGAAAAAAAATCTGGCTCTGCTCCCTGACAATCAAGTGAATACATTCTCAATGTTTGACAGATTAACCAGTGAATGATATTCAGTTATCTGATTCACAAATACATTACAATAGCCTGAACATTTGTATTTGTTATTGCCGCTATGACAGTAGCCCAATTACTCCATCTTCATTCTTTTCAGCTCTTGTCTTATTCTCTCCCTTCGGGTAAAGTACACTGGATGAAGTCTGCAATAGACTGGTGTGGCATTCCTCTGCACTTGTACGTTGGCCTTATATCCTGGAATCAGATGGCCAGTTTCACTAAATGCCCAGGAATACTTGACAATTTCATTTCTTTGTGTCTTAAGCTTTGTTTTGATAAAAAAAAATCTCATTTCAGTTTATCTTCAGTGTTTTTAAAGTTTCCTCCAATCAAAACTGGATTTTAACTCTGCTATAATAGAGAGTAACTTTGCCTTTGCACCTTGTAGGTGACTGGAACCATCACCCATCCCATTATGGGGATTTGCTCTGCTCCATAACTTCCTCATTCAATGCCTGATTTCTCCAACTGATGCTAACTCAGTTTTGGGGGGCATATTAATTCAGGAATCATGCTGTCTGGTGCCTCTGCTTCATTTTCCAGGTCCACTGGGTTTCCAGTTAATGTCACTTAGACTACGGTTCCTTGTGAACTTGCATTGGTTCTTAATTTTGGGGTCTCAACTGACCTGTCATTGACCTGCTGCTGTTCTACAACTATTTGTAATGACTGCCATTTCCCTCCACCATGTGCACCTTCTTATGACATGCCTTGTCAAGATAACCCCACTTCTTGCACCTGCAGACCTTTGTATTCAGAAATAGATCATTCTGTGCCCAATGTTGACCTGATCATCAGTATCAGTTAGTACCTGTCTTTATTAAGGCTTTCATCTTACACAGTTGCAGCTTATTTACTTCAGCAGGCAATTGGTGATTGTTAACTTCCACTTCTCTTGAGTCATTTCCTGCATAATGTCATAGTCTCATAGAGTTTTTACAGAAACGAGGACTTTGGCCTATCATTTCTATGCCTGCCATCAAACATTCATCTTTTTAATCCCATCTTCCTTCACTTGGCTTTGAATGTAATGATGCATTAATTGTTCATCTAAGTAGTTCTTAAATGTCTTGAGCAATCCTGCCTCTGTGACCCATTCAGGCAGTGAGTTCCAGGTACCCACAACTCTCTTGGTGAAGAAATAGTTCCTCAAATCCCCTTTAAACCACCTGCTCCTTATCATAAAACAGTGTCACTTGGTTGTTGACCCCTCTATTAAAGGGAAAAACATCTCCCTATCCACCCTGCCTGTGCCTCACGGATCTTTGTGCACCTCAATCAGATTCTCTTCTCAGCCTTCTCTGCTTTAAGGAAAACAACCCCAGCCTATCCTGTCTTCAGAAATGAATCACTTCAGGCCAGGCATTATCCTGATGAGTCTCCTCCACAATGTCTCAAGTGCACGCCACATCCATGCACAATGTGATTTGCAAGTTATGCAGAAAGTTAAGTTTGGCAATGTCAACAACTCACTGCAAATGCCCTCACTGCAAATCTGTCCTGTGATGCTGTCTCTTAAAATTCTCCAAAATTACAATGGGTAGACAACATTTTTAAAAACTGCAACAAACTCTCCAATACACTCACGGGGTGATAGATCCTGTGTGCCAAGCCAATAACTTTAGCAATCTCCACTGCTTTGGGCCTGTAGCACTGATCAGGCTTATATAAAATCTAACAGCCCGCTGTCTTTTGGTATTGCATGGCCATCAAATTCTCAAGGGCTTCGTAGCAGTCGGAGCTGATGGCATACTGCATTATTATTATTAAACTATTAATCCAGAGACCCAGGTAATGGTCTGGGGCACAAATCCTGCTTTGGCAGATGGTGTAGTTTGTATTCAGTTTTAAACAAAATCTGGAACTAAGTGTCTACAGGTGACCATGAAACCATTGTCAATTGTCAGGAAAAACCCATCTGGTTAACTCATGTCCCTTAGACTCACAGTAATATGGTTGACCCTTAACAATTAGGGACAGGCAATAAATGCTGGCTCAGCCAGCAACACACATCCCATGGTTAAAAAAAATTACTTTGTGGGTCTGCTTTCATTAGAATTATCAGTGTTTTCCTTCTTCTCACTGCCAGATTAACAGCTAGATTATCAGGAACATTCAGGATAATATTACTAATGAATATCATCTGAAGTCAGTCCATATTTGCATCAAAAGATACACAATCACAATTGTACTCTACAGTCTCCTAATAATAACTAAAGTTGCAGTCTTCTTCGCTTGTTAATCCATTCAGTAGTACAAATGGCCTTTAGTTCAAGATCCGATTTTGCTAAATGTAAAATTTTTGCAAGATAAACGACGTAAGATTCAACACCAAATTAAAAACATTTTTTTCTAGCACATGCATTTATACCAATTGCCACAAGGGTGTGCTATTACAAGATGGCACTGACCAGCACCCCATCATCAAGAGTGTTTACTGGGTCCACCGGAAGATGGGGCTCAGGCTGAGAAACTATACATTAATTGAATAAATTCTCCAACCTGCTGGAAAATTAGCTCAGCCAACCTGGTCATGTTAAGTGATGGAGCAAAAAAACAAGACAGTGTGTAGGGTTAATTGATCTCATGATCTCTCTCATCATCGATGCTGAACAGAACATGTGGATTTTGGGCATGCATAATTTTGTACCTTTCAGGGTCAAATTACTTATGAAGAATAACCACTAGGCTGGCATAACAGAGGACTGCTTTTTTCTCATGAATGTACACTTCAATATGCTGAATGTTCAGAAGAGAAAGGAGAAAAAGAAATGGAATGGATAAAATGAACGGGAGGAAAAAGATCCAAAAAAATTATGTTCAAATACGGTATGAAATGGTCAGGAAAGCAGTCAGCTTTTTGTTTTATTATGATAATTGGATTTGAGTGCAAATCAAATACTGACTGCCAAAACTTCAGAGTTTATTTGCCCAGACCATTGCTATTTCATATGGATATTGTCCAAAATTTAATTTTTCAGTCAGTGAGTCAAAAAATAGCCAGTTCAATTTTGATTTATTCTCCTGAACTGGAAAGAGTTCAAATAGTTTGATCTCAACTGTATTGCTTTATTTACCCACTTTAAGGGAATTAGACTTTTGAATCCTGAGGGTAGGTAAAGCTATCGACTGAGTCAAGCTATTATACTCAGGCCAGTTCACCCATCAGCAGGAAAGACAACAGAGTTGTCTTGAATGAGCAGTCGAGCTTCATGAGCCTCAAATTTTCATTCTGTGGCACTTCTATTTCCTGACATGGAGGTCACATTAAAGCAATGAAACTCAAATTAAGTTAGCAAAATTGACTGAATGAGCAAAAATACAATTGCTAACTGAACAACTGCTTCAATTGAAACTCCCTTCTGTGGGCTTAAAGCTCAAACTTTCCGTCAAATGTTTTTCCTTTGCTTTAGAGTAACTTTCAAACACCCAAAATAGCAACACCTATAAAGATGCAATCATACAAAAGTGACCAGATTTTCACAAACATCACAGCAATTAGACTGAACAAATCACTTTGATGGGTTTATGAACAAATGTACTGGCCCATGTGATACTGAGCGTCTCAAGTTTGATTGCTGAGTTGGGCTGACTGAACTGATCAATGTACACAGCAGCAGCTGGAAAGGGGAAAAAAATCAGTTCAAGTTCTGGCTGGGAGTTGCAAATATGATCGCTGATGAAGGGCAAGATCAGACTCGGCTTTATTGCTCTTGATGATGAATCTGACACTGTCTGCTGAGGCTCACATGGGAAGAATGGCAGCTTGGAGTTGACACCAGGGAATTAGAGATACACATATAACATTGCCAATGCATCAATCAGCACACTATGCAGAGGAGGGCAGCAAATAAAAATAAAGGAAATTCAGCATGGATAACAAAAAATGAATTTAATAGGGCTGTTAATAAAATTTAGTGAACATTGAATATTTTTGCTTGAGTGAATTTGCTTCTTAAAACTTCGAGCCGATTATAATGCATTTCCTTGAAAGCAATTTTTAAGTAGTGTTTTACATTTTACATGTTTAACAACTTACGTGTCTGTTTCATCCCATGCAATGCATGATTGGTTCGTGGTGCCCTGTTAAATAAAATGAAGTCTTTTTAAAATGGGGTTGAGTCTACTGAAGAAGATACACTTAAATGTAAACAATAAACCTTGCACAGGCCAAAATCCCTGCCAATTCTTCGTCAATTACTAATCCGTCGTTTTGTCAATTCAGATTATATGCATCATGAGACTGAAGTTGTCAAAGCTCCATTCTCGGTGAAAATGCCTTGCTCCACAGGAAGGAAAATAAAGAAGAAGAATCAATATGAGCAGCTACCCAGACCTAGTACTTAAAAAGAACTGCACAATCGGATGCATTGACTTTAGCACTCCTACATCGCTCCGGGTGGATTCCCTGCCAGCGAAGATATTCCCAAACTCAGACTGCTCCAAAAAACCTAGCAATTCAAGTGTACGGTTCCCCAGAATTGTGACTGCTGTTAGACAAAGTCATGGGGCTGAATTTCACAAAGGAAGATGGATCCGTTGCCCCTCAGCGTAATAGTCCATGGTGAACCCATTTAATTGGCCATTAGGTCTTTACTTGAAATGGAACTTGAGGGAGTTCCAACTTTTGTGTTGCTTATCCCAATTTGACTCTTATATCGCTCCTTCGAAAATCATAGAATCATACGGTACACAGAGGGACTTTGGCCCATCAAATTTTTACCACCAAAAATATACTGCTATTACGCTAGTCCCACTTTCCAACAACAGGTCCATGGCCTTGAATGTTATGACATTTCAAACATTCATCCAAATACTTTTTAAAGGCTGTGAGTTTACTTGCCTCAACTACCCTCCCAGGCAGGAATTCCAGATGCCCCCACTACTCTCTGGATGAGAAGATTTTTCCTTCAATCCCCTCTCAACCTCCTGCCTTTCATCTTAAGATTAAACCCTTCGTTTCTGTTGCTAGGTCAAAATCCTGAAGCTCACTTCCTAGCAGCATTGTGGTTGTACCTTTATTACTTGGACTGCAGCAGTTCAAGAAAACAGCTTACCACCACCTTCTCCAAGGGAATTAAGAATAGGGAGAAAATGCTGGCCCAGACAGTGAAGACCACATCCCATGAATTAATTTGTATGTAATACTCCTGGGAATGGTGCACTATATTTAGTCCCAAAGGTGAGTTGCTAATGCACCCAGGAATCAGTATGTTTTAGGATTTTGCTGGGGTTGGAATAGAATAGAATAGAATAGCCTTTGTTGTCACATGCACTTGAATAAGTGTAGTGAAAAGTTTGTAATGTCACCTCTTTGGCACCATCTTAGGTACAGGGTACCTAGGTACTTAAGTATTTGTTACAGAATAGAAAGAGTTAAAAAAAAGTCTAGCATAGGAATATAAGGTTTTTAAAAAGTACTCAAATTACTCAAGTCTCAAATAAGAATAAAATGTATCTTTAAAAGTATGCAAAGTTCAGATGAAGTAAGGTTGGAGCTGGGACGGACTGGAGAGAAGGGGAACCTTGGGCAGGGTAAACACTAGGGTTCCTCCAACATATATAGCCTGGTCACCAGGCCACAGCCTTTTACTGCACTCTACCTCCATAATTGGCAACAGCCTCTATCACCATGGGTAAAATCCTAGTGGCTGTGAGTCCTTCGGGGACCGTTGCCATTTCATTTAATTATATGTATCTGCCCCTCAATGGAAGTTAGCGCACCATGTATTTCCAGGTACAGCCAGTGGGCTACTTCACAGGGTGGTTAAGGGTCAATGACAGAGACCACTGGATTCACATGTAAGCCCAGATCAGGTAAGGATGGTAGACCTCCTTTCTCTAAGTAACACCAGAAAACCAGTTGACTTTCTACAACAATCTGAAAACTTCATAATCACTTTTAGTGATTTTTTGTCCTGGATTTATTTAGTTGTTTTATTGTGAACTGAATTACAATTCACTAATGTCAATGTGAAAATAGTAATAAGGTACTGAAAATATGGAAATTGAAGAAAAAAATACAAACAGTCAAAAAGCTTTTTGCTTTAACAGCTCCTTCATGCATGATGTTATTGTTAATAGCCATTTCAGATAAGTGAGCAGAATCTGTAATATGATCCTAGGCTAAACTAATGCAGATATCGTAATGGCTACATTTACAGGATGTAGAGTACATTTAATATCTAAATGAAACACTCAAAAAAATGGATGTCCAGTGGATTTCATTATACTGTAATAATTGGCAGCTTAAGGGGAGGGGTGGACCTAATTAATGAATCACTATTTGATATCCTGGTGTCACATGCATAGTCCACTTCTGTGAGATGCAGAAATTTATGCATTTGTTTCAATCTGCAGGAACACTGGACAGGAATGAATAAAGTATGTTCGATTTTATTGCACTGAATATTGCTGTTTATTTGGCAAGACTGAAATAAATTGGAACCCTTTCCACATGGGACCCAAGGTAAATGTCTATTCCAGTTGCTTGTAATTAACCAAAGGCTGTTTCTTAAAAACTATTTTCTCTTTGTGAAATATTATTTTTAAAGCCTGCATTCATTTTCAATTATGAATAAAATTTGCACTTAGGGAACAATTCCAAATGAACCTGATTCAAAGTGTTGCGGATAACAACATTTTGTCGCTGAGTGTGATTTGAATGCATAACTTACATTATATAAATGAGAAAATTCAATTTCCAAAGGGCTGGCCAAAGACTTTGGAGAAGGTTTCATAATGACAGACAGTATCTTGGAATTCAGCACTGTAGCATTCCTAAAATTGAAAGCAAAGATCAGCAATGTGTTAGTGATTTCAAATATGATGTAAAGGATATTAAGTCAAAGCATAAAAGTAATTAGTTGTTACATTCCAAGACTATGGTATTGGCAGTTTCCGCGTCAGTTGCTGACGTAAAATAGTCCTGTTAATGTTTCTGGCTATCTCCCATAAACAGGGCAGAGAGTCTCATTGTGACTTTGACTGACTGAGTGCCCTAATACATTTGTGTTTCTTTCTGAAGGAACAAGGGGTTGGAGTTGAGGAGTTTCTTGGGTGGTGATAGGGCTTCCCACGCAATATTACAACAAGGAGACAGCAATCAAAAAACCAGGTAGGCGAGAGGAGAAAACGCTGCCACCTTGCTGCTCTAATAAGAGTGAAGGGCAGCAGCTCTGCCACCTCAGCAATACCCTCGTGAGAAATGGCTGCTGCTGAGACAGCAAGGGAGTAATGAGGGTGCGTCCATTTTGAGATGACCTGGCAGAGGTGGTAAAAAAGAGAATTTTTTAATATGCCCGGGCAAGCAGACATTATTTTTTCATCCCAGCGCAAACAGAAAGGCCCTCCTTCTCAGATTTTTAATGAATAATGGTTTCAGAGGTTGCTGACAGCGGGCAAGAAAATGGTGCTGAGGCCAAGATGCCCATCATCCGTGATCAAATTGATTGGTGCAGCAGGCTCAAGGGGCTGATTTGCCTACTTCCGCTCTAAATTCTTATGTCTTATATTCTTATGTTGTCAGTCTGAGAGGACTCCCAGTTCCTACAGCAATGAGGTCCTCTGTCTCCAACTGATGCGATTTTGCCTCCAATATGGTGTTTTTAGCTGTTGCTTATACTTTCCCATGTGACATACGGACATCATGGTACTGAAGAATCTAACAAACCATTGATCACGATCAGCTATTACTTACAACATCACATTCACAGACACATCACTGTCTGGGTTAACATTAAGCTATTGGATTACAGCAGAGAGCAGCATTGAGCTGCATGCTCCCGTTAATGCAAGAATGCTTCCACCATGCTTGAAATGATCCTGTGGTAAGAGAGAGTATGAGAATTTTCTACCCTGAGGTCGTATGCTATGATCAGTGATGATACTAGGAGCATGTTTCTTAAAGATATACTGACATACTGACTGTGCAACATCACACAACACCAACTCCATTGTCTCCAATCCTGGGAAGCTCAGAAGATGCCAGCAAGGGAATAATGTCTCTGAAATAGTAATCCAGAGAGCCAGGTTAATAATATGGAGATATGGGCTAAAATCCCACTAAACAGCTGATGGAATTTAAAAATTCAACCAATAAAGAAAAATATGGGATATAAAACTAACCTCAGTCATTGTGACCTTGACAAGTATTATCAATTGTTTTAAAACCTCAGGTAATAACCTTTAAGAATGATCTAAGGAAATTTGTCATTCTATCTGGTCTGGTCTACTGTGATACCAGATCTGTCATGTGTTTGCCCTCTAAAATGACCTAGCAAGCCAGTCAGCTCTAGGGCAATTTAGGGATGGGCAATGACGGATGAAGGAGTAAAGAGAAAAGCATCATGGTCGTATGGCAGGGTACAGTGCTGTTACCAGCAAAATGCCAACAGCCCAAAAAGTAACACACTTAAATTCTATACTTTGGCCGGCTGTGTACAATAAATGGGCAGTCAAGTCGGTGCGATCCCTGCCATTAGGAAACCCAAATGGGATTTTACTTGCTTTTTGCATCTTAAAGTCTAGCAAAATCTAACTCATTCAGCTCAACCAAACAATAGTAGAACAATTAGTTGACAGCTAGCCTTACTAATGCAGACTAGTATCCTAGGCCAGAGTACTTTCATTCCCAAAGTTCTGAGGAAGGGTCACCGGACCCGAAACGTTAACTCTGCTTTCTCCTCCACAGATGCTGCCAGACCTGCTGAGCTTTTCCAGCAACTTTGTTTTTGTTCCTGATTTACAGCATCTGCAGTTCTTTTGGTTTTTACTTTCATTCCCAACATGGCATTCCAAATTAGAAACATATACTACACATATTTGATTACATTGATTTTACTACCATTGTCTGAAATGGGACTAATCTCACCTTTACAAGTATATGTCGCTGTCTCCATTCTGTTTATTCACTATTGATCCTACATTCCTTTGCCCTCCTTACCCTTCCACTGCTATCCAATTTAACCTTGATTCCACTTGAGTCACTAATCCCAGATCTGAAATTCATACCCTCCTCAGCTGTAGGGAGGTGTTGCCCCTGCCTCATCTCTAAATCTCTTAAATTTAATCACATTCCTCCATCATCCTTGTTCCTTTCTACTACTGGAAACAAACTGTTTCTTTCTAACCTGTCCTACCTTTTCATGATTATCAACATTGCTATTTCTTTAATACTCAATCTGCGCTATTCTGATGAGAAGAATATATGTTATTAAGTCCTTCTTTGTATTTCATATTTCCTTGCATCAGATAGCATCTTCATGAACCTCCTTGTTCACTTTTCAATCTTCTTCTTGAGATAAATGTTGAGGGGAGCCAAGACACAAGCATCCAATCTTACATGGGAGATGCCCAGAGAAGATTCCAAATTGCTCCTCACCCTCCAAGTCAGAAGGGAGATATTCAACACAGCCAAGGAATGCTGTCCAATGTATGTCATTGCTGGTGGCACCTCGCAAAGGTATTTCAAGATCTAAATTCAGACAGTTCCATTGTTCAGAGAGTAAGTAGTTGGAGTCATTTGGCAAGATTTCTATTCCTGGGTTTCTCATGCCATTGGGATGAAATGTGAGTTGGGAATCCATTACTGCTGACATTGGGAAGCAAGACACAACATGCATTTTTACAGGAAGCATCTAGTCTGGGGAACCTGTTTAACAAAAGTTGGAAGACCAATAAAAGGTTGTCTGTCCACACGTCATAGCCTCTAGAGATAGGCATTGCTGTAGAATTGAGGAAGGCATGAAGCTATCTACATTCCTGGTTGCCAGCAATGAAAGGGAGACATATGAAAGGACCCCAAAACCAATAGGACCATTGGACATGCAGGGGAAAGCCTCATGACCAGACCTCACTCCCATTCTTCTAAGCCATGACTTTAAAATAAAATCATTCATTTGATGTGGTCACCATTTATATCACATCCCTTGTTGCCCTTCAACTTGAAAGGATATTTCAGAGTTAAGAGTAACCCATATTGCTGTGGGCCTAAAGTCACATATAGGCCTTACCATATCAAGACAGCAGATGTTCTTCCCCTAAATGACATTAGTGAACCAGCTGGGTTTTTGTGACAGTGGGTTCACAGTCACCATTAGATGTTTAATTTCAGATTATCACTGAATTCAAATTCTATCATTTGCCATGGTGGGATTCAAACCCAGGTCCCCATAACATTACCTAGGTCACTGCATTACAAGCCCAGCTATCTGTCACTGGTAAACCAATATTGTTTCACAGGATCTTGTGGATTGAGAGGTATCTCACATGCCCACTAAAAACCAATAGATATTGGGACAATGTCCTCAAGAAGCCTCAAGAGCATTCATTTTTTTTATTCTTTAATGGAATATTGATGGCCTGATGGGATCACCCCCTTACCCACACTATCCAACCATTTTCAGATCCCATGACCTCCAGACATGTCCTTGAAAAGTCTGAAATTTCAGCCCATTCAATGCGACAATGCAAAAACTAACTCTTTGACCCACTATGTCACAGCAGCTGATTTCTTCATGTGAAAATTAAGATCACATCCTCACATACTGCCCTTCAATAACTTTCATGTTTATCACCCACAATCTTAAAATTTCCCTTCTTTTAAATGTTTCCATAATTCCATTGCCCATCGTTTACTCTGAGCCAGGAGGCCCATGTTCAATCACCACCTGCTCCACAGTGTGTAATAACATCCCCAAGCAGTTTATACAAAAATTCTAATAATTCTCTTTTTAAATAATTACTTCAACAACAAGATAAGGTATAGATTTTAACAACTGATTTAGTCTATAATCCTTCATCTTCTCTTTCATTTCTTTTCCTTATAGTGTTAAAATTTTGCAACCACGTCATAGGAATAAGCCTGTCACCATGCCACACAATGCTATAGATGGCATTCAAAAGACTTCCATTAATTTATAATTAGCATGCCCAATTACTATGGCAACCATCTAGATTTCATACCACCTGGTTCTGGGAGTTAACATTAAGCATTACAGCAATATCACAACACAGGTTTTTGTTTTTAACAGTCAAATCATTAGCAGTTTTAAACCAAATGATGAATGGTAAAGGGAGTTGCTCACATTATTATGAAGGCACATAAGTTAAAATTACTTCAGCTGAAAAGAAGGATGTGTTTTGAGAATTGTTTCTATTATCCACAGAAAATTGTATTCCACTTTTGTGCATGATATGTAAAATAGAGATTTACAGTTTTGTATACATCATGCAATATTACATTGCTTCACGCATCCACTTTTATTTTTGTGCCTTCTTATTGCAAACAGCCAAAGTCAATGGTGGATCATTAGTTTTGGAAGAACATGCAGAGAAATTCATTATTCTTATTTTCATTCCTCCTATTTAGTTCTGTTTTCTCTCTCCCCTAATCCGCTGTGATATTGCATCTCCCCTAGTTGACATGCAGCATCACATCACCATCATGTAGTGGATAAGGCATCATCAATCAAAAGCCCATCCACAGTTTGCAACCAAGGGCAACCTTTCTGTAAATCAGTGTTTCTGGAATTGAGTAAAGATGACTAACCACAGCTGCTGCAGGGATTTGTGGGAGGACTGCTTCTGGCCTTTCAACTGTTAACAATTTGAGTTCTGACTTAAGTGGCTGTATCATTGTTCACTGTTACTGTTTTATTTACTGTTTTGTTCATTACATATAACGGATAAAATGATTTAACCCCAAAGTCAACCTAAGGAAACTGGTTAACATGACAGATGATAAACATTAATCAGGGAATAAGGGAGAAATCAGATGG